TGTTTTTATTTGTATTTATATGTCGAAGCACGCCAACTAAAAATCGACCCAACAATCAAGAACTACTCTCTATGTATACATATATACTCTTTTGTTTCAAATCTCTTTAAGTAGGAAGGAAAAAAAATTAATGAAAAGGGGAGCAACTTGAAGTTATCGAGCGCAGATGACTTCAAAAACTGTCGGGGAGAAAAAGAAAAAGAGAGAGAGAAGAACTTCCGTTGAACTGATTAGAGCTCGCTTGCTTCTTCGGGGAATCTTCGCGAAGGAATGTGCGGGAATAGTGGACGCATCACGAACAGTTTGTTTGCGATTGCTCCCTCGATTCTTTTCGTGATGCCAAAGTGCACGTTTCGTAATAGCAGTGACCCGAGCTCTCTCTCTCTCTTTCATTCTTCTCAATGACTCTCTTTTTTTTCCAAAGCCATTCAATGTGCACTTGATACCTTTCCCTTCACAATGTGCCTCGCGCGCGATTACTCTACAAACTTCCCGGAAGATAAAATTACACAAAACTTGTTGTTGAATTGTTCCACTGCACGACCATTTTCTAATCCTTACGTAAGCTATTCACATTCTCCACAACCTACATTTTCTCCGCGCAGACACAATTCAAGACTATTAACCGCCTCATCACAGATAACACACAGTATAATTATAGATTCGAAAATGAATAGACACGATTTTTGAACTGTAATTTTGTGAAGACTCGAAAAACCGCAAATATGATACATTTTACAGATGTAGATGGCATTGAATGGAGACCAGGATACTGCAAAGTATATTCTTCTACTTCTTCTTCTTCTTCTTTCTTCCTCCCCCATAAATGTAGGGTGATTCTTCCGATTTTTGGGAAATATACTCTTCTCTCAAGAAGAAGTGGGCCATCGGAATCGCGCGTCGTAACGGTTTACGAGGAGAAATATTCTGTTATTTGCTAAAATACCGACTACACGCTTTTGTGAAAGAGCATCAAAAACCCGCAGCGAGTTTTGTCCATTCAAGATAATGATACGCTACGCAGAAGCAAAAAAAAAAAAAGAAATGAAAAATGGAGGAAGAGAATACGTCGTCACACTAACCAGAATTCATACAAAACTCCCCGTGGGTTCTTGAATTATATTTCCAAGGATCATAACCTATTCTTTCCTGACCCGGAATTCAGACACCGCGGCAGTTTTCTTGAAAAAATATTAAAGCGCACTATTCATGAGTATGGTCCAACGATAAATGTACCGATTCGTGTACCTACAATTTACAATTAGCCGCAGTCTTTTAATGATATAGTAGTCTGTGTGGACTTGTATACTTTTCGCCAGGAACGGAAGCAGACGATTAGAGATTTTCTTGCTTATTAATCATTCTTCTATGCGGTGGTATAAAGGGAGGGATGCTCTAAACAGTCAAGTCGCTAATATTTAGTAGAAAAATGTATAACAAAATTGAGATTGTTTACCATAATTGACATTTAATCAACTTGATGGTCAGTGGTCGCAATCTTATACCAAGTGAACAATTTTTTATCACTTTTTGACTCCCCCTCCCCCCTTCGTGGACAATCGTGAGCTCTTCACAAACTCCCTCCCATAATTGTCCTCGTAAATATTTTTTTGGTTAAAAAATAATATTCTTGGTAGGATATGAAAACTTACAACCATAAAGAAAGTTTTTTTATTTTAAAATGATTGATAAATGGATATTTTATAAAATAAAAAAATACAATAAGAAAATATTTACATCTCAAAAAAATCTTTAAAGTTTTATACTATCAAAAATAATTTTTTTGAAAACAAATCTTTTTAAAATGAAATAAAACATTGGCACGAAATTTAAAAGTAGGATAAATAAAATATAAGGGATAAAATTATAGTTTTACTCTATTTAAGTGGACCCCCTCCCCCACCCGAACATTCGTGGATACAAAATGTTATTTCGTTTATTAAAAACACTAATTTCTAACTAAATCTAAATTTAGAAATTACAAGCAAAAGTTTGTAAATTTTAGAATTCATAAGAAAATTCTGAATTTTTGTGTCTTTTGTTTACCTCATAAACTATTAATTGAATTTTAAAAGAGTTGCATATACAATTTTCATAAATAAATGAAATTGTATATCATAAATTTTGTTTAAAATTCATGACAAAATTCCAATTATTTTCAAAAATTTTTAATTCTTTTCATGGAATTGAATTAAAATTGTATTGAATATTATTTAATTCATATAAAGAATGGTATCAAAATCCTTAAAAAAAATTGAATTCTTAAGAATAATTGAATTCTTTCAAAGAATTTCATTAAATTTTTAAAAATAATTGAATCTTATCGAGAAATTTTTTTAAAATTGTATTAAAAAGAATTGTATTCCTATGAAAAAGTTTTATGAAAACATTTTAAAATATTTGAATTTCAGCGCAAATTATGATTTACAAAAATAATTGAGTATTTGCCAAGAATTTTATTAAGATTTTTCAAAATAATTAAATTTCTGCAGTAATTTTTATTATTTAACAAAAATATTTAAATTATTGTGAAAAATTTGATTAAAATTTCCGAAAGTAATTGAAAATCTGCAAAGAATTTTGTTATTTTTCATTTATGATAAGAATTTTATTATAATATTTTTGAAAATAATTGCATTTCTGCGAAATTTTCCACTGGAATTTAATTATTTTTGAAAATTTTAATAAAATTCTTTGCAAGAATTCAATTATTTTCAAAAGAAATAAAATTCTTCGCAAAAATTTAATTATGATCACAAATTTTTTTTAAATTCTCGTCAAAATTCAATTATTATTTTCAAAAATTTTAATAAAATTCTTGCCCAAATTTCAATTTTTTTCAATAATTATCCTGAATTAAATATGATTTTCAATATCTATTATTTTAATAAATTTTTTCAAAAGAATATTGAATTATTTTTAAAAAATGTTGATAAAATTCTACGCAATCATTTAATTGTTTTCAGAAATAATAAAAATTTCACAGGAATTCAATTATTTATAAAGTTTTTTTTCGCAATAATTGAATTATTTCCATAAATAATAAAATTCATCAAAGATTTTCAATTATGTTAAAAAATTTTAAAAAATTCTTGTCAAAATTTCATTTATCTATCTAAATAATAAAATTCTTTTCCGAAATTCAATTATTTTTAAAAGATTTTTTAAAAATTCTTATCAGAATTTCAATTATTTTTAATACAATTTTAAATAAATTTCTCGAAAAATGTTATTATTCTTAAAAATGTATGAAATCCGTCGAAAGAATTAAATTAATTTAAAATTTGTTGATTAGATTCTTTATGAAAATTCAATGTTAAGAAACATTCAATTATTTAATAAATTATTTTTTTTTTTTGTATTTCAATAATTGAATTCTTGCAGAATTTTGTAATAAAAATTAATTTAAAATGAATTTCAGTTTAATAATTGAATATTAAAAGCATTGTAGCGTTAATTTTTAGAAATAATTGAATTTTGAGAAGATTTCAAATTGAAATCTTTGAAAATTTCGGTTTTTCATACTTTTAACTAGGTAAAAATTCTGTAAAATTAATTTTATTGATAGAGTTTATTTGAATTTTCTTTGAATTTTTTATTTTCAAATATATTTTTAATTGAAGAGTTCCAAATAATTGGAATTTCGTAGAATTGAGTTGTAAACAAATTGATTTGAAAATCCTCAAAGAACTTTTTCAAAAATTATTAAAAATAATTGATTTAAAGAAGAATTTTAGATTGAATTTATTGAATTGAATTGAATTCTAGATTGAATCGAAAGGAATGGAAATAATATTGAGAAAGTTGCAGTAAAAATATTCTTATAATATAAAATAATGATTTTATCACTCGGTCATTTTTAATTATTATTATAAGTTATTGAATTTCAAATGAATTGAATTTGAAATTTTTGAAAATTTTAATTCCTACGGAAAAATAATTATGATTCAATATTTATTTAAAAAAGAAGTTATTGATGTTTTCGAATAATTTTCCAATTTCCAAACTGAATAATAATTCGCATCAGTTTGTCTGGTTTCTTGGGAAGAAACTTTTTTTTTACAGCTTAGCAATTCTTCATGGTAGCAAATTGTCAATTCTGTTAAATAACAATTTATCAGTCTTTTAGGTGGTGGAATGTCAATCTGTTTGTCCCATATTATAAATTTACAGTTTTTCTGCGGATATCAAATTGAGACAAAAAACGAAGAAAAATTGTTGCATCGCAACAATTTTGCTTCGTTTTTTGTCTCAATTTGATATCTGCAGTTAAACTGTGAAAATACAAATTTTGTGTTTGTCTAGTAGTCAAATTTTTTTAAATCTCAATTTCTTTTAAGCTTTTTTGTAATTAAAAGACCATCGGGATACTTGAACAGTTTAATCCCTCTATGATTAAATTAACACCAAAAAGAATTAAAATAATCCTTTTTGGTGTTATTTTTGACTATGAATAAAATTTTATTTTAAATCAAACACCATGTCAACGATTTGTCAAAATTCGACCAGGGGCAATAGTTAGTAAGTAACTAACTTACTAACTAACAAATTTACTAACTAAAGAGCTAACTAACTAACTTTCTAACTATGCAGCTTACTAACTTGAAACTTACTATAACCAATTAATTTATACTAATTAACTTACTAATTGACTAGCTAACTAACTTACAAACTTAATTACTTACTAACTTACTAACTTTATAACTAACTTACAAACTTAATTACTAAGTTAATTTAATTTGCAACGCTTTTTAATACCTCACAATTTACTGTGTTATTTTTATACGAATACAAAACTTCAAAAGAGGAGAAACATTCATCAGTCACAAAAACAATCATCTTATCATAACACTCTTCGGCACATCATCTTTCCAGCACTTCTAATCATCCATTTGCTTTCACAACCGCACACAAGAGAGAAGTGAAGAGAATTAAAGAAGTGAAGTGAAGAGAAGAAAATAGATTCGTCAGCTAACCCCAAAAAAAACCTTTGTTTCCAGGTATGGTTCCAAAATCGCCGAGCAAAATGGCGGAAGCAGGAGAAGGTGGGCCCTCAAGGTCACCCGTACAACCCCTATCTGGGAGCCGGCGGACCTCCGCCATCGGCAGTGGTGGCGCCAACATTGCCGAATCCATTCGCCCACCTCGGCTCGTTCGCGCTCCGGAAGCCCTTCGACACCTTCCGCTATCCACCTCTAAGTCATGGACCAGTTCTTCCCGGTGGCTATCCGCCGCACCCCTATCACAGGGCAGCTCCACCTCCCCTCCTGCCGCCGGGAATGCCACTTCCCTACACATCGGCGGCCTCCTTCCAAAGTCTCCTCGCCAACATTTCGGCCGCGCAACGACCCAAGTTGGTGCGCACATCGCCACCCCCACCGCCACCACCGGCGCCGGCGATCACTCTGCCGCATCCCCCGGCGCCACCGGCACCACCCCCGCCGCCCACGTCCACTTCGCCGCAGGGCTCGCCGACTGGCAGTGTCTCCGGCGCGCCCGACATCGATCGCAGGACCAATAGCATCGCATCGCTCAGACTCAAGGCGAGGGAGTATGAACTGCATCTGGAAATGCTGCGCAAAAATGGAGATCTCATCAGCTGAAATAGCATTATTTTCATTTCGCTGTGAACAACTGATAAGTGGACCTACCTTCCTTCGCGGGATCGAAGGCTTTCTTTTCTTTGCAAGGGGCGAGGGGTTTTGGAATTTTTTCTTCTTTTTTGAATTGTTATAATGATCTGCTCTCTAAATTTGAATCTGTTAAGAACTTAAAAATAACGAATTTAGAAGCAAAAAGTCAGACACTAAGGACCAGTTTCACAAATACCGATTAAAAGTTAATCAATGATGAAATCCTCAATCAACCAATCATAAGCCGTTAAACTGGCTTTAAGCATTGATTAACTTTAAATTGAGGTTGGTAGAATTATTCCTAATTCAAGTAGTAATATTTCTACTGACAAGTAGTTAAAGATAACTGATGTTTCAGTAAATTTTTTTTCACTGATTCAATTAGTCAAGTTTAACTAAGTTTTACGTTATTTTTTTTTGACTGAAAATGAGTTATTTGTTTACTGAAAATGAGTTATTTTTTTATAACTATTTTTCACTGAAAATCAGTTATTTCGAACTGATTTAGAAGCAAAAAGTCAGTCACTGATTGTCAGTTAAAACCATGATTTTTCACCGATTCAAATTAAATGAGTGATGGTCCAATTGACAATTTCACGATCTGACCATCAAATCGTGATTGACCTACAGATCAAGTTCTACTATTTGACTTTCATTTTCACTTCCATTGTAAAAAAAATTTATTTTTACTTTCATGAATTTTTATTTTTACTTTTACTTCTACTTGGATAGATTTTTACTTTCACTTTCATTTTAGTTCTGACAGACCTTCGGATGATTCGACTTTTTTTCGACAATTTTCAGAAAAGTCTTTTTTCGACTTTTTTCAACTTGTTTTCCAGAAAGTGCAATTCATTATAAAACTGAAGTTCGCAACGTTTTTAAAAACGAATTAATTTCCAAGTTAAATTCATCTCTACTTTTTCTTTGTTCGTAAATATTTGAGAAAATAATTTTTTCCCAAAGAACAAAATTACATTATTTTTTTAATTTTTGTTCTCAAGAACTTTGCGCACTTCAGCCTTATGACTTTTTCGACTTTTCTTTCAAATATTGCAAAAAAAAAAAATACTATTTTTGGTACAAAATAAATTTTATTCCAATTTTTTACAGTGTAAAAAATCACTATAATCAAATATTTCAAAATTTAGTTTTTCATTCATTTTTCTGTAAAATAATTACATTTTCTAAATATATAATTACAATTTTTTTTAAATACTTGAAGTTTTCTAAAATTTTATTTCAAAAAATAATTCACTGATTTTTGAGGATTTCATTCAAATTTTTGAAAATAAAATTTGAAAAAATTTCAATTACAAATCTTTTATTCTGAAAAATTATAGTAAAAAAACAAAATGAAAATTTGTTTAAAAAAAATTATATTGTGAAATTATTTTAGAAAAAGTAATTCTTTGATTTTTTATTATCATTTTTTAAATTTCTATTATTTTAATATTTTCAATTTCGAATTTCCAAAAATACAAAATATTTACAAAAAGAAAATTACATAAATATTTGTTTAAAAAAATAATTTTTTAGATTTTTTGCTAAAATTTTAGAAGAAATCAATTATTTTCAAAATTTTTTACTAATTTTTATCAACTATTTTACTTATTCACATCAAAAAATCTATTTATTTTTTTAAATTGACCAAACATTATTTTAAGAACTTAAATGATTTTTTAAAAATAACATAATTATCTACAAAAAATTAAATTAAACTTTAGAAAAAATATGCTTTATTATAGAGTTATTAAAATTTTGGAAAAATCATGTATTTTCATATTTGCATTTAAAATTCTTGAAAAACTTGATTATTTTTCATATATTTTTCAAAAATTCTTTAAATCATTCGATTATTGTCAAAAAAAATTATTAAATTTCAATTGTTTGGAAATTTTTCTATTATAATTATATTTGCAATTAAAATTCTTGAAAAACTTGATTATTTTTAATATTTTTCAAAAATTCTTTAAAACATCCAATTATTGTAAAACAAAATTATTAAATTTCAATTATTTGGAAATTTTTCAATTATAATTATATTTGTAATTAAAATTCATCAAAAACTTGATTGTTTTCAATATTTTTCAAACATTCTTTTAAAAAATTCAATTATTGTAAAGAAAAAGGTTAAATTTTAATTATTTATAAATTTTTCAATTACAATTAAGTTGGAAAAAGCCAGTTATAATTCAAAAATTATTTAAAAATCATGAGGCTTTGCAGTTGACAATTATTATAAAAAATTGAACTTTTGTATTTAAATAATTGATTTCTCGAAGAATTTTTGGTATAATTATTAAAAACAATTGCTTCAAAGAAGAAGGTTAGATAAAAATTGTTGTATATAAATAATGTAATTTTAGATAAATTGCAATCTTCATTTTTTAGAAATACTGATTTTTCAGAATGTTTAAATTTAAAGTTGAAATTTTGAAAATTATTGAAATTTCTGTAAAAAAATTAATAACAAATATTTAAATTTTTTTATTTAACAAAATTATTTAATTTGTTGATTAATTGAATTTAAAAATGAGGGAAAGATTAGGGAAATACAAAAGCAAATTTTTCATGTCAACACAGAAAAAAATAAACGACTTTTTTCGCTTTTTTCAATCTTTAATTCATTTTCGCATTGACAAGTTTTTATTTTTCCTTTATATCAAAATGAAAATGAAAATGAAAGTAATAGTGAAAATAAAAATTCATCAAGTTGAAGGTAATGATAAAAGTAAAAGTAAAAATAAAATTCTTATAAATTATCAAAAATTAGTGTCAAAAATATCTTACGAGCAGCAAATTTTCATTTTTTTAAAATAATTTCTCATAAATTAAAGAAAGAATAGAAAAATCGGAAAATTCGAAAAAAGAGTTATGAATCAAAGAATTTCGACATATTGTTGATTGAATCTCTGTTGACACTACTCAGTTCGCTAATAAGGAAGTTTCTCAATTCTCGAACTTCGTGAGACTCTTCATATTGGTTTCTTGAGTAGATGTTGCTTTTTAGCGACGACGACGACGACAACGAAGATGCAACTAACTCTCATCCAAGGATCCGCATTCCTGATTACATTCTCGATTTTCGAATGTTCCGTTATTCTAAGAACGTCTCTTCAAAGAAAATTTCTTCAACTATCTCTCACATGTATCTAATGTATATCTGTTAATATCCTTTTGTTTTCACAATTTTTCAAAATCGAAAACGAAAGCAGATGAATGCAGAACTTCCCCACTGTTAATAATGGATATTAAATATCCACTGTATTTTTTTACTGAACAAAATTCTCCTCTTATTTCTTCTAAAGAAATTTATTATACTTCAAAAATTTTAACTTAAAAAATAAAGCGGATGAAAAAATCTTCTGAGTCACTATGATTATTTAATAATTAAATAATAAATAATTTAATAATAAACGAATAGAATTAATCGTTTATTCGAATCAAACAAATTTTTTTTCAACGCATAAAAAAAAGAGAAAAAAATTGTTTAAAAATTGAAAAAAAAATTCTATGAAGAAAAAAGACACTTTTTTCGAGCATGAAAATTTTTTTCAAGGCAATAAAAAAAAAATCCAAACAAAATAACATCATAATATAAAAAAAAACTGTTTAAAAATTAAAAAAAGATTATAAAAAGAAAAAAAATGGGCCACTTTTTTTCGGGGATGAAAAATTGTGAAATGAAACAAAGAGGAATAAATTTTTTCTAAACATTTCCTTATAAGTATATAAGAGAAGGAGGAATGGTGCAATAGTCGTGTAAAATGTAAGCGCACGGGATGTAATAAAGTAGGCAATGCATATTCCTCATCCTGCGGTTCTAGTGAGTAAATCTAAAGAGTCTTTTGTTATGACATATATGTTATATTGATATCTCTTCTGTATATAAGCAGAAAAATAGCCTCTGTGCCTTATCAGCTAAATGAAAAATTAGATACAAAAAAAAAAAAAAAAATCAAAGTTTCTCTAATTTTACCCATAATGAAAAATACAAAACAAAAATACGACAATCGGTATCGTTACCAAGCACCGATCAATTTTTCACCTGTGATTCGTGTTGATGTTCAAAAATTATATCCGTCCGTAATATTAAAAAAAAGGAAAATGAAAAAATATTTATCATTTTTGAAAAATTTTCTTTCTTCACTCGGAAATAAATCAGGATTATTTCTTTGCCTTGAAAATTTGAAATATTATTAATTATTAATTATTAATTATTAATTATTAATTATTAATTATTAATTATTAATTATTAATTATTAATTATTAATTATTAATTATTAATTATTAACTATTAATTATTAATTATTAATTATTAATTATTAATTATTAATTATTAATTATTAATTATTAATTATTAATTATTAATTATTAATTATTAATTATTAATTATTAATTATTAATTATTAATTATTAATTATTAATTATTAATTATTAATTATTAATTATTAATTATTAATTATTAATTATTAATTATTAATTATTAATTATTAATTATTAATTATTAATTATTAATTATTAATTATTAATTATTAATTATTAATTATTAATTATTAATTATTAATTATTAATTATTAATATTATTATACAGTTTTTCTGCGGATATCAAATTGAGACAAAAAATGTATCAAAATAGTTGCAAAGCAACTATTTTGATACATTTTTTGTCTTAATTTGATATCCGCAAAAAAATTTGCACGAATAAAAAAATTGAATTTATTATTTACCGATTATAAAAATAATACTGATTTAATTTCCCCTGACAAGAAAGAAATAATAATAATAATCGAAAAGTGCAAAAAACTGTGAATAGAATAAATAATTCTTTTTCGCAAATTAATTTAGAAAAAAAAAATTGGAGCATAAGAGAAAGAGGTACTTAATAAAAAATTGTGATGAATCTATAAAGCTTTGCTTTTAATTTTGTAATTGAATTATTACAACGATTACGACAGAGCATATATGTTTAATTTTTAACTACGCGTTATACATCAAGACAAAGGTATTTATACGTATTATAAAATAAATATTAAATATACTATATTATATTGTTATTAAGATTTTACAAACAATTTTTGTAAATAGTTTTTTTTTTTTTGAAAATATGTGCATTTCTAGATAAACGCCTTTTTATCTAATTCACCATTTTCTCTTATAAAAATAGAGAGAAAAAATTTTTTTTTCTGAGCGAATTTTACCGATTCACATTTTGATATATATTTTAGATAATTTATAAAAAAAAAGAATTCACTCTCTAAATCTGAAAATTTCTAATCTCTGCAAAATTCAAATTTAAAGAGTAGATAAAAAAAGAAATAATGAACGAATCGAGAAAATGTGTATAGTAAAAAAACTTTATCGATTTTCTCAATAATAATTTTTAAGAACACTCACGAAAATTGTATAGATATTTTTTAGAAATTGCGTCTAGATATCGAAATTTTTTCACAAATGAACCAAATAGCTTCTATTAATTATTACGAGATAGTGGATTAAGAGCTAATTTTAATTTTATTTGCGCAAAATGTGTTGTAAGTGTATGTACACAAAAGAAAATTTAATTCAAGAAGCAAAATTGAATTTTTTTCCTATTGATTTTTAGATATCATTATGTATAATAATAATTTTTCTTTGCGAAAATCGCTCAGGTGTAATGATAGAGAAAAATTTTTTTTAGTAAATCGCACAACAATATACATTTGAAAAATGTTGTAGAAAGCGTATCGACATTTAAGAGAGAGACTTGCGGCATTTAGATAATATTTTTACCAATTATAATTTCATACCTCAAAAAATGACGCCAATTTCCTTTTCCTAATTTTCCCTAAAAATACAACAACAAAAAAATAATAATGTGCGTCATTTTTTTTTATTGTTTCTTTACTTTTTTTGCAAAAATAAATAAAAAAAAAAATATGAACGAAATGTATTTTTGTACTTTTTTTGCAAATTCCCGAATTTCTTAAATTGAAATTAAATTAATGTTTAACGTTCGA